CGGCAGTGTGAGGATGCAGTCAGGAAGGCCAACTGCACCTTGTCATACATCCACAGATGCATCTCAAGCAGGTCCAAGGAGGTGATCCCCCCCCTCTATGCGGCACTGGTCAGGCCGCAGTTGGAGTACTGCATCCAGTTCTGGGCGCTGCACTTCAAGAGGGATGTGGACAACATGGAGAGGGTCCAGAGGAGGGCGACTCACATGGTCAGGGGGCAGCAAAGCAGGCCCTACGAGGAGAGGCTAAGAGACCTGAACCTGTTCAGCATCCACAAGAGAAGGCTGAGGGGGGATCTAGTGGCCTGTTACAAACTAGTCAGAGGGGACCAGCAGGCATTGGGGGAGACCCTGTTCCCCCGAGCACTACCAGGAGTGACTAGGAATAATGGTCACAAGCTGGCAGAGGGTAGATTCAGACTAGACACCAGGAGGTACTACTTCACAGTCAGGGCAGCTAGGATCTGGAACCAACTTCCAAGAGAAGTGGTGCTGGCTCCTACCCTGGGGGTCTTTAAGACGAGGCTAGACGAACACCTTGTTGGGGTTGTTTGACCCCAGTACTTTTTCTAGCCAAGGCAGGGGGTTGGACTTGATAATCTGCTCAGGTCCCTTCCAACCCTACCAACTATGAACCTATGGAACTATGAAAGGAGAAAGGGGTCACAGTGCTGTGGCCATCTATTACAAACCCCATTTAGACACATTTATGTTCATTTAAAATGAATCATGTTCATTTAAAATTTAGCCTGTACCATTTAAATGTTGAGAGACAAAGTAAACCTATATAAAGCAGGTGAAAGCTGGATTTTTTTTGTGTTTTATATGTCAAACTGGCCAAAGCATCAGATAATGTATGCTGGAGCTGGTCAAATTGCTGGGCTGTTTACTGGTGTTCCCAAACAATATTGAAATCAGCCCGTTAATGTACCGTGCTTCAGGTTCCTTATGAAATAGGGAGAAATCAATTGGCATCAATCATCTGAAGAGGAATTATACTTAAATACCTTTGAGCACTAGGCCTACATTGCTAGCATGTACTAGACTCAGTGGAACTAGCAACAACCTTTCTTGAAGTTTTAATGTTCCGGTTGACACCCCAAACTGCAAGACGGCTTTCAAAATTTGAAAAAAGGGAACTCCATTGTATTTTTTATGTTTAAATATAGTTTCCTTTTAGGCTTTAGTGATCATGTTTCCTTTAATTTATCTAACCTAATTTGCTTTTTCCCAATTCATTATGTGAGACTTTGTAGTTTGGAGTCTGAATAGAGCTAATCCATTCCTTATGGGTATGTTTTTCATGTGTCTCAGTTTTTGCAAGCAGCTTATCTTTGCAACTGCAAAAGCCTTCATATTTTTGAAGGCAGGAAATAGGGAACGGCCTATGACAGCAGTATGCCCTTCTCCCTCTTATTCTGAGCTTCATGGATGCCCCTGACTTCATCTGTTTAGTCCTGAATCCTGAACTAACATTAGGTCAGCATGGGACTAACTTGACCTAGAGAAGATTTACCTTAAGTAGCCCAGACTAACAAATGAATGCACACATTCATAGCACAGCCCTGGGGCTGGGAAAGGAAAAGCCCAGCTACACTCCACAGCCCCCAGGCTGTACTGTTTTAACATCCCTCCAACCCTGATTGGGGTATTTTGAACACTCCCCTTTCCCAGACCTGCTAGCCCCTCTCCTGAAACCTCCTCGCCTCCAGACCACCGTGCCTTCTCCTTCAAAGTGGCAACTGCTTGCACATGCCACTCCTGATCTGGGTCCTGCAGATGCTTGTTTGCACCCATTATTTGCTGGTTTCAAGTGGCTTTGACAGATTAATTTTAATGTAAATTCCCTGTTTTACAGTAGCAGGAATATTTGAGCCTGGTTTTGGAAATCTGATCAATGATGTTACACAACATAAAAGATGGTGGGGGAGCTGTGAAAGGATTAATGTTTTTTTCCCCTGTTGAAATTGCACAGATTGTAACAACACCACAAAATAATATTTAATTTGGGACTTTAATTAGTTTAAGTATAGTTACTATAAATATACTGATGTCATTAGTATGTTTTATCTGTTATCTTTGTTTTTATTGGTAAATGAACTGAATGTTCTGTTGTTGCTTAGAAAACTAAAGCTAACCTAGCCACAGGACATACAGGAGTTTGTTCTTCAAATCTTCCTATGTGGGTACCACAAAACACTTTTCAATATTAATATTTAAAATCCTTCTCACACCTTCATGAAGCAGGAGGCTTTCCTGCATGAGAGAAAGATTGAAGTACAGTAATTGATTTGCTCAAGGTCTGGTTATAAATGAGAGAAAAAGGTTAGACTCAGATCAACATCAGACTTTTTGTACTTTCCTACAACTGATATTTGATTCATGTTAAACCTTTTTTTTAAAAAAAAACAATACTGAATGCTAAATCTTTTTGTAAAGAGTGTTTCAGCATTTTACAGTCATTTAAAAATAATTGTAGTAAAGCACAAAGCAAATGTTATGGATACAGTTCTAGTACTGTTTATGCTGACACATACCGTTTATATTTATATAACGTAAGGTCTTTGCAAGAAACTATTTTTTTCAGCTTTTGATTCAGAGTAGGTTTTGCAATATCTTCCTCTTCAGCAATACTTCCCACACATTCCACAAAGCCAAATAAGTTGCTGTATAACCTCAAATCATTAGCCATCTCTGCATGATATGTAAATTAGGGTGAGACAGCTGTATACTTGCACTCTGGTGATTTAGAAGCATTCATCGAGTCATGGTTAAGGAGTGCCTACTAAAAGACAATACCCGTTCCTCAGAATGGTAAGTTCTAATCTATACTGAATTAGACTCTCATGTCCTATTGTAACTTCTAAACAATTATACTCTTTACAGTTGTAATTATGACAAAGGATGGAATTAATATAGATTGTGTCTTAGTGAACAATGGTCAAGCTAAAAGATATGCTTAACTATATGGCATCAACAATACAAAAAATATCAAAAATATTTTGTTGTTTTTGAATCATCTGTACCTTGAAAATTGATTTCAAGATGGTTAATTAGACTGCTTATTACATGACACAATAAGGTTTTCAGTATTTTAACTTTCTTTTTTAAATTGAAAATACCAATGATTGTTGAGTGTGCAGGCATTGCTCTATTTATACTCTTTTTTCCAAACAAAATTTCTCTAGCTGTTCCCAATTGTTTGAATTGCAATGTCTAAGCTTAAAGCAGCATGCAGTGTTGCTGGTCACAGCAAGTAGCAATGCCTAGAAAAATGGAATAGATCTCTACTGGTGTGTTGATGGATATTATTTTATGTTATATAACATGTCATTTTATTTTAGTTGTTAGCCTGCCTTTAAATTCTTTTCTTATTATAATATTTATCTTGCTACCAACTAGCCATATAATCAACCAATTGAACGCATTTTAGACAATATATGTCATAAGTGTACAAAACTTTAAAAATAATTATATCATCTTCCTCTTCCATTCTTATCTCCAGGGTTTCATATATAGATTCTGAGACAAATATAATTTTTCTTCTTGAAGCTATTAGATTTAGCTTCATTTCTATTGTAATCTATCTTCTGTTTTTCTAATATTTCATTTTCCCACCATGTTCTATGCTGCCAGTATTTTAAAACTATGCTTTGGCTAAAACTTCTTCCTTTGCCTGTGATAAGCCCCATGAAGCAGGTATGTAAGAGTGTAAACACATTGTGGGCACATCCCCACAAGCATGCACGTTCAGAGGCACACATTTCCTGTGGGACAAATAACAACTCATATTTGTGCCACTGTTGTTTGTCCTTGGGCACACTCCTGCACACACACTCGAGCACATGGCAAAGGAACCTGGGTGGGGTGCGCATGGCTGAGGCTAGCACTTATGATGGCCCCAACAGCCTTACTTGGGGCCTTGGGGGTTTCCCAAGGCAGCAGTTTCACTGAGACAGCCACTCAGAGCCTGCCCAGAGCCAGAGCATGGCTCTGGCCAGACAGGCTGTGGTTTCTGGTGGGCAGGAATTGTGGGAATCAGGGTCTGCAGGTGGGGTTGGGGGGGGAAGTGGGTCCAGGGGTCCACAGGAGGGATCTGGGCATTGGAAGGGCTAGCACAGTTCACTGGTGGGGGTTGGAAGGATCAGGCAGCTTGAAGGGTCCAAGGGTCCATGGGGGACTTGCAGGGATGGGAGGGCCCCTCTCTTCCACAGGACCAGGGGCTATTTTTAGCTTCCTGACACCCCATCCCCCAGATAAACAATATCCCCCTGGCAAATCAACCACCCTCCCATGCCACCTGGTCCTTCCCCCACTCTCAATTACTTCCTTGGCTCCTGGCACTGGCAAATGCTAGTAAAACTGGCACTAGGAGCAGCTTGTGGGATGTGGGGTTTGGTGGGCTAAGAGGAGGCTGCCTAGTCTGCAGGCCGGTGGGGGGTTGTCCACCTGGGGGTAGGGAGAGAGGCCAGAGTGCTAAAAATAACCAAATGCCAGGGAGGGTGTACAGGCTACGGGCTGAGCTTTCCCAGCCCTGGGGCTGTACTGGGAACTGTACAGAAGTTCAGTTAGATTGGTCTCTCCAAACCTAATCTAAATTAGACTACCTCTGGGGCAGGGTTAACTTAGATCACATCAGTCATATTTAGAGTGGTCTAAATTTCTTGAGCTTCTGTACAGTTCACACTTAGATTGACTTAACTAGGAATTTAAGCGTAGGATCCACACTTGGGTGAACTAAGTTAGATTAGGTGACCATTTTTAAAGCAATCGAACTTCCCTGTAACTTTTCCGAACATCTGTATGTAACCTGTGTGGTACGGCCTACTTTCTTTAAAGGCAGGTTTTGAGCCCAAGGTATAGTTACAGTTTTTTGGGAAGACAGATGGTTGATATTCCTCAAAATGAGACAACATCCCAATCCTTGGAATTTAACAAGGGTCTCATGAGAGCCTTTTCTCATGTGTCACTATGGTTATTATGCTGAATCCAAAACCAAAAAAACTAAACAGCTGGTGAAATAAGCTGCATAAACTCTCTCAATTACTCTTACCTGATTAGAAAATCATTAGTATTGTCAGAGAATTTAAAAATAATTATTTGCAATTAGATGTATACTAAAAAGCTGTACAATGTATTGTCGCAGCTTGGCAAAGAGAGTGAAAAAGCAGAATTAAGGCAGTTAGAATCTCTTCATATAATATATCATTTCCCTTGACTTGCATCAATTAAACAGTTGTATGATTGTTAAATGAGTGAAATCAGGCTTATCTGAAAGCTCTTAGTTCCAAATCTGCCCTTTAAAACTTTTAGCACCCAACAGAACAAGAACGGAGCACTATGTAATACAAATAATTGTTCATGGTTTAATACGCTACACAGAAACCTGAATATAATTCTCGGCAAACTATGAATTGATGATTATTTGTGAACTTTGTTCTTGTAATTTCTAGGTTAATTTTATTCTGAACTTATTTATGTTTTCACTATTATCTTCCTGTTCTCTTTAGTAAGGAAGTGGCCTGACTCCGATTTGTATGTGAATTTTCCATTAAATTCCAACAGCAGCACTTCTACAAAGAATGTTTGGAATAACACGTTTAGCACTGATTTGTATTATAGAGTAACAGAACAGTAAAATTATGCTCCATGTAACTGCAAGTACTGGGATATCTATATTTCTTTAATAATGTCTTAAAATTCCTAAGAAGCAAATGTAGACCTACATTATATGTAACAAGATGTTTATCTATCATTAGTTTACTAGTGTGAAAACATAAAGCACATAGTAAATATCTTTCTTGATATCAAAAACACCCAATATTCCTCTTTTCTTAAACTACAGTGGTTCGGTCTTGTGCTACTCTTTCATTCCTTGTTTGGGCAGATGTCTTGGGCAAAAAACAATGGGCTTTTGCCTTTTGAGTCACTATCAGTGAGTAACACTTGAGAATAAAGAAACACAGCTACAAAAGTAGATGATTTCTTAAATACCTTGCCCCCTGCCCTGTTGCATATTAATCACAAAACCAGATTTTTCATCTTCCTCTCTTCCATCTCCATCTCCTCTCTCTAACCATTTACTGCTTTAGGGTAGCATAAGCTTGCATTCTACTTTATTTAAAACTTTCACTTAGCTTAATGTTTCAGCTCTAAGTCCTTACCCAAATTCTTACCCAGACAGAAATTGTACTGGATTTACCTGCTTTTTGTAACCATACCTTACGTCTAATTGGTGTCAAGACCTTGTTCTTATAAGGTGCTCATATTCATAAGAAATATTTTTCCGAGGGCTGTAACCTCTCAGAGTTTTGTTGTTCTCTTGTAAGAGATAAAGGACATGTCAGTGACTGCATAGCTATCACAGTTGTAATACCAGAGATTGCAATGTAATTGTCATTTCATTCGATTGATTTTTTTTATTTTTTTTTATTTTCCAGGATGTGAATAAGACAAACAGCTGCTTGGAGATAATTAAAATCCTAGAAAAGTATTATCTTTGCACCATGTACGTCCTTGAGTTGATTTTTGGTATCATTGCAAATAGCACTGTGGTGTTTGGCTACATCTTCTGCCTGAAGAAATGGAAAAGTAGCAACATCTATCTGTTCAACCTGTCCTTATCAGACTTAGCATTTCTTTGCACTCTTCCAATATTGGTGGCAAAATACTCAACAGACAAATGGACACCTGGGAACATTTTGTGCCAAAACAATAGAGTATTGTTGCATGCAAACCTGTACACAAGTATCCTTTTCCTTACCTTTATCAGTATCGATCGATATATCCTTATGAAATATCCATTCAGAGACCATTTTCTACAGAAGAGAAATACAGCTGTTGTTATCTCTGTTGCCATCTGGATCTTGGTTATATTTGAACTGTTGCCAATAATCATCTTCATTGGATCTACTGCCAATGATGATAAATGCATGGATTATGCAAGTTCTGGAGTTCCAGAACAAAGCTTGATCTACAGTTTGTGCCTGACTGTTTTGGGATTTCTAACCCCTCTTTGTGTCATGTGCTTCTTTTACAGGAAGATGGTTATTTTTCTTAGAAACCATAATGAGCAGCTCAATGGTTCCCTGCCACTTGAGAGACCTCTTACTTTAGTCACCATGGCAGTGGTCATTTTTTCGCTGCTCTTTACTCCCTATCATATCATGCGCAATGTCAGACTTATCTCCCGCATACAATCCTTGGAGGTATCTGAGTGCACACAAAACATCATCAATGCCATTTATATCATCACAAGACCTATTGCATTTTTAAATAGTGCAATTAACCCTGTCTTTTATTTTCTAATGGGTGATCACTTCAGGGAGATGCTGATGAATAAAGTAAGGCACTTCTTAGAAAGAGTCACTATTGGCAGAAAATAAGATGATAAAAGTGCACTTGGATGCAGCAACATACAGCGGATTAAAGTGTATTGATGTCTCGGACAATACTTACTGATGTAAAGTGAGGTTGTATTTAGCTATATGTATTTAACTGTGTGTAATCTGTTGATTGGACTGTTCTTTGCCAAATGGTTCACAATAGAGCCACTGTTTACCTATTGCAATAGGCCTCATTCTACTGCCTTATTCAGATAAAACTATTGCTGGCTAGACAAGAGGCAAGTTCCCTTCAAGTCGTTTAAATTGCCTGTTCCACAGGCAGACATGGAGATAGCTTAATGCATATGAGAATTATATAGCTGCCCAGGGCCCCATATTCAGCATATATTTATGATCCCTGATTCCTCTTGTTATGCCTGCCTAACTTTTCCTTCCTCTCTGCCCCTGTGAAGTTGGATATTGTTCACTTTTTATGGAGCTGAGCACATTTCACTTTTTATTTTATCTTGTGGGAAGTTGGTGGGTTCCAGGAGGGGCAGGAAAGGTTGTAGGCAGGGATAGTAGGGAGGAAAAATCTTCTGATCTTAGCCCTGATGGAACTTCGCTCATAGTGATAGTGAGGAGGGAGAAAAATAGATTTTCAGTTCCTGGCATTCACTTGCATTGAGATTAGATAGGAGTGCATGTTGGAGATGAGAGAGAGAGATCCATTAATCAGAGAGTGAGAGAAAGGAGTAAGACCAAAATTAAAGTGATTAGTATAACCAAGGGTTGGAGACAAAGCCCAGAACCAGAAGAAAAAAGATAAAATAAATTAAATACAATTATACTTTGGAATATTACTCTGAAAAGGGGATTTTTTCATTTTCTGTGCAAGTCTCAGTGATTTCCAGACACATGCCAAGCTGACAACAAAGACAATGATGCAGTAACAGTTTTATATCTGGAAACTGGGCATTAAAAACCAGATTGTGGTTCACTACTCACATATCTTCCCCCAGTTGTAATGATGCTACATGCCTAATTTGGTCTTTATTTACTTTTCATCAATCCCATAATGCAGTGGTCAGTAACCTGTGACTCATGTGCAGGATTCGGATTATGAAAAGACTGGGTCCAGTCTGGGAAGGTGCAACCTGGCCCAGGGCAACACGGGGGAATGGGCAGTTGAACTGCTCACCCCTCTGCAGCACTCTTCTCCATCGCCCAACCTGCTGTGCTCTAGTGCCTGTGTTTACCCTCATTGCAGAGCAGTTGGTTATCTGCAGTGAGAATAAAAACTCTGTGGGGGTGGAGGTTTGCAGCCCATGGCAGGGGGTTGAGTCTTGTTGTGTGTTATTGTGTTTTCCTTGTACAGTCCCTTTAAAGCCAAAGCCTCATGTTTAGCATTACAGGGTTCAGTTTGCTTGTGGCAGTTTTGCAGCTCTGGGAACTCCATTTTCTTTGCCAAGAGGAGCCAGAGGCATTCTTAGTTTCTCTCACTCCACAGGACTGGACTGGGTCAAGTCAGAGGCAGAGCAAGTACAAGTTCTGCATACGTGTACCGAGGGCAATTGTTAAGATCCACCATGGATGTGATTTCAGAGAATTATAATAATAAATAACTGTAGTTCAACACAAGAGTGTCCAGAGTTTTGTTGCTGAACTCACAACTTATCAGGTCGCATACTTTGACCCATGGGAGCAAAGGTTGCCAACCCCTGCTGTAATGTAATTACTTACCTAATTAATTATCTTCTCTTAGGTAAGAGCAGAATGTCTAAATTGGAGCAGAATCTGTGGAATTTAGTTAACAACTCTGCTGACAAAGTAGGCCCAGAAGATAATCCAGTCTTCTGTCTAATAGTACTGGAGAGTCAACACAGCTAACAGGAATTTAAAAAAAACAGAAGAAAGTTAATTTTTGAATTCAGTGGTTTAAATCCTAATTAGAAACCAGAAATAGGAAGGTGTCACTTATAGATCTCTTTTTCTGCATAGAACCACCTTTTATTGAATGGAATCAGAAGAGGAAGTGGGGGCACTTATTAAATATTCTCTTTAAATAAACTTCCTTATGAGAAAACTAATACCAAAAAAGACTGATATAATCAAGCTATAAAAAGAGGATGTGGAATATATTCTAAGAGAAAAGAAGAAACGACAAGAATAAGAAGACTCCATGCTTTATATGTCTTTACAAATGGTTTGAAAATAGATTCATAGATGCTAGGGTCAGAAGGGACCTCAGCAGATCATCGAGGCCAACCCCCTGCCTAGGCAGGAAAGAGTGCTGGGATCAGATGACCCCAGCCAGATGCCTATCCAGCCTTCTCTTAAAGACCCCCAAGGTAGGAGAGAGCACCACCCTTGGAAGCCCATTCCAAACTTTGGCCACCCTTACTATGATGAAGTTTTTCTTGATGTCTAGCCTAAATCTGTTCTCTGTCAGTTTGTAACCATTGTTCCTTGTTACCCTAAGAGGCGCCCTGGTGAACAGAGCATCTGTGATACTTTGCTGTGCCCCCCCTAATGAATTTGTAGGTGGCCACAAGATCACCTCTCAACCTTCTCTTGTGGAGGCTGAAGAGGTCCAGGTGCCCTAGTCTCTCCTCATAGAGGTTGGCCTGTAAATCCTTAACCATATGAGTCGCCCTCCTCTGGACCCTCTTGAGGCTATCCACATCCTTCTTATGGCGCCCAAAACTGGACACAGTACTCCAACTGCAGTCTGACCAATGCCATGTAGAGGAGAAGTATCACCTCCTTGGTTCTATTTGTCATGCATCTGCTGAGGCATGATAAAGTGCGGTTAGCTTTACTAATGATTTCGTCACACTGACGACTCATGTTCATCTTGGAGTCCACTATGACTCCGAGATCCCTTTCAGCTTCTGTGTTGCTGAGAGGGGTGTTTCCTAGCCAGTAGGTTTGCTAGATATTTTTGCACCCTATGTGCAGCACTCTGCATTTGTCCTTGTTGTACTGCATCCTATTGTGTACTGTCCACTTTTT